CTGGAGGATTTCGGGGTAACAGAGGCACCCCCTTTCTCCCTCTCAACGCCTCCTCATCCGTCAAGGATATACTCCCCCTTTCTGGGAAGAAAGCATCTGATAAATCGAGCCTAACCTCATTGTCCTCCTCTGTAAAATGGGTACAGTAATACCAATCTCCCAGAGTTACTGTGACAGTTGAAACAAGATTGTAAATACGGAGCACCCAGCACAGCCCCGGGCTCGAAAGAATCTCCCCAGCAGAGGTGGGCGCTTATGTTGGTGCACAGAACAGCCGCACACACTGAACACCAAGGTGCGGGGTCCGAGCCGGAACATCCTGATACCATTCGATTTCCCTCGGGGGAGGGAGATGAATTTTTATTTCAGAAACCATTTGGGTGTCTATGGTGTTTCAAAAGCTGCCATGTAGTGTGAAGTGGGATGGAAATGAACCCCCAAAAGGGACTTTTGGGGGCAAAAGGATTAGGAGCTTTTTCTCAAGTTGGACGTGGAAGGTGGCCTGGGGAGGGGCGGGGCTCAAAGAGGAGCTTCTAAAAACGCTGCCCACTTACCAGAAAGGTGCAGGCCACTCCTCTGCTGTGCCCCAGATGGCTCCTCAGAAGGGGACACCGTCTTGCCCCCCACGCCTCCTGGCCCTGGGCGAGGGCACCTCCGCAGGGTGGCTGGGGACAAGAGGGACTGGAGCAAGCTCAGGCTTTGGAGCCAGGCAGCTGGTTCTGATCCCAGCTCGCTAGTCTGCTCTCTGAGCCTGTTTCTTCATCTGAGAAATGGGGATACGAAGAGCTGATGTGTGAGTTGGACTAAATGGGACGATGTCTACACCTCCTGTCGTTTGGTGCCTGGCGCTCAGGGGGCACCTGTGAATTCTAGTTGGGCGTCATTCCTATTGGTGGAGAGAGCCCACCAGGTACAGGAGCATGCTGGAGCCTGGGGTAGGCGAGCTAGACGGACAGGGTTCCTGCCCTCACGGGGCTCCTGCAGTGGGGTGAGCAGGGCCGTCTCTGCCCCCAGACCCCTCTGGAATTGCAGGTGGGGACAAGAGTCCAGTTGAGAGGCCTTTGCAGACGTCCTAAGCATCTGGAGACACCAGACACATGGCTGTGGGAACACCAGGAGGTCCCAGGCCAACACGCAAGTAGATCTTGGCATGAATGGGAGGCGCTGAGGCCTTGGGAGAGCTGGACCGGGAGCCTAGACTTGGTCTGAGTCCCAGCTCTGAGGCTGCCCAACATAGTGGGCTTCCTTTGACTGTGGGCCTCCCGTGTGCCTGGCGCGCCACGCAGAGACCCTCCTGGCCTTTTGGTGGTCCTCCAAGTAAGTGTCATTATCCTGATCTAGCAGTGGGAAAACTGACACTCAGAGAGGTTAAGTCACTTGCCTAAGGCCTCCCAGCCAGGATTCAAACTCAAGCTCTCCAACCGGGGAACCTTGGATGAGCCATTTCTCTGAGGGGTTTGAGCATCCCCTTCTGTCAAAGGGACACAGTACTCCATCCTGCCTTCTCCTTAGAGCTCTTTTGGAGCTCAGATGGGGTGGAGACAGAAGTTCACTGAGTTACAAGCCCCTGTCTAGATAAGGGATAGGATAGGAAGTGTGTAAAGTGCAGGCTTTGTCTCAGGGAAGATGGAAGGGAGGTGCCGAGGTGTATGTTGGGAGAGTCAGAGAGTAGATTTCTTCTTGTCCGGGTTGAGCCAAGGACACAGAACTCGGGCCCTTGGGTGACTTTTCTCCCGGGCACCTTCTCAGTGGTGGTGATGGGGGCGTGGTCAGACCATCCCAGCTACACAGCTGGCTACTGGACTTTCTTGTTCCGACGTGGTCTGTGGGGTCTCCTTACACAAAAGAACAGGAAGCTTGGCCTCACAATGTGGAGACTCAGGCAGGAATAGAAGAGAAAGGGTCCCTTTGTCAACATCACAGAGGTAAGAGAGGATTTAATAATAGTAATAGTAATGGTCGTTGCCCACGTTGTGCTCATCGTGTCTGTGTCGGCTGCCGCTCTAAGCTTCTAGTCATTAAGCACCTACAAAGCACCGGTCACCTTCCTAAGGGCTTTATGAGCGTTAACTCACCTAATCCTTTGAGTTACCAAGATTAGTATTCCCATTTTACAGATGAGGAAACTGAGGCTCCAAAAGGTTTAAAAAATGGTCTTGCCCGGGTCGCGGTGGGTTGGCAGGTAGAGGCAGGCTGTTTGACTCCAAAGCTCACACGAGTTGTCTTCTTTCTCTCCGTCAGTGTCTTTGACCACCTTGGGTGGTGTTGTCCATAGGTTGAAGCTGAGCCCATCAATAAGTGCGGCTGGGCTAGACTTCTGCAGGCTCCTCCTCGCGACACCTCCTACTGTCGCCCATCAGGGATAGAAGCCGGTCCCTGTTCCTGGAGCCTAGATAAATGAGGGTGTTCATTGCAGTGGAAACATTTTGGTTGGCAGGAAAGAGCACTGGATTGCGAGTCCTCTGCTGGGGGGTCAGGTGCAGCTTGGGCTACCAAGCAAGCTGTGGGGCCTTGTGCAAGGCACGTCCCCTCTCAGGGTCTCATCTTCTGCTCTGTAGAATGAAGGAGGTTGAGCTTGAAGGTCGCTGGCAGAGCGGACGTCCTGAGAGCAAACTGAGAGTTTGGGTCACTTGACCAAAGTCACACAATTCCTGCGTGGAATTGCTGGGGTCCATCCAGAGCTGTTGTCACCAGCTCCCTCTGCCTGGGAAAAGAGGCAGATTGCTACAATGTAGGCTTCGGTAAATGTCAGTGATTGGAAAGGGGGCCAGGCAGCAGGCAAGGTCACCTCCCTGCCTTGGCCCCCCTCCAAGAAAAGCGAGGTGGCCTCATCTTTCGGTTCTGCTTCCTCTAGTCATGGCTGGCTGGGCCTTTGATGCAAGTCTGTTAAGTGTGGGTTCCTGCAGCCCCCACCCAACCTATAATAAACAGGCGGCTCTGGCCAGGGCCCCACCTTGGACTGGAAAGTTCATCCTCTGTGATATCCGGGGTCTGTGTTCAGACCCTCCATAGGTAGTGAGAGTGGTTGATGAGTGAAAGGAAAAACAGCAGCTGGAAGCTGGTGCTGAGTTGCGTGTGTTTCTCACGACCACACCCTCCCACTGTCCTTCCCCACTTCAACTTCATTTTCTTCTGGCCCAGATGGGGGCACTCAGAAGGCTGTCTCTGATCTGCTGGCCTTCAAGGGTGGCTCTCCTCTCACTTCCTCCCAGAAGCTTCCTCTGATTCCTTCCAGCATGGATCCGTGTCCCACGTATAGTGGGTTGAATGGTGGCCCCCCGAAAAGATACGTCCACATCAAGCCCATGGAACCTGCGAACGCTACCTTATTTGGAAAAAGGGTCTTTGCAGCTGTAATTAAGTTAAAGATCTTGAAATGAGATCATTCTGGATTAGCCGGGTGGGCCCTAAATCAATGTCCATTTAAGAGAAAAGCAGAAGATTTGAGACCTGAAGGGGAGGTGATATGCCCATGAGGCAGAGCTTAGAGACATTCGGCCACAAGATCACAAGTCAGGGAATGCCAACAGTTCCCAGAGCTAGCTACAAGGAAGGACTCTCCCCTAGGGCCTCTAGGGGAACCAGGACCCTGCCAACTGCTTGATTTTGGACTTTGGGCCTCCAGACCTGGGAGAGAGTAAGGCTCTGTTGTTTCAAGCTTCTTAGTTTGTGATGCTCTGATACAGCAGCCCTGGGAAATGAACACACCGTGGAATCATGGACCACCTGAACTGGGGAGCCAGGCAGGGGCTCTGGAGCGGCAAGAACTGCATATCTCAGAGATGCTGCTCAAATTCTCCCATTTAAAGTGTACAATTTAATATATTCACACAGTTGCGCAACCTTCCCCACTGTCAACTTTAGAACACTTTCATTGTCTCTCTGCAAAAGCCCATAGCCATTATCAGTTGGTCCCCATTTCCCCCCACAATTCTCCCCTGACCCCAGCTAACCACTAGTTTACTTTCTATCCCTAAGGATTTGTCGGTTCTGCCTATTTTATATAAATGGAATTCTGTAGTATGTGGCCGTTGTGTCTGGCTTCTTTCACTTAGTGGAATGTTTTCAAATTTCATCTATGTTGAAGCATGTATCAAACTATGTTGAAGCATAGTTTATTCCTTTTCATGTCTGAGTAATATTCCATTGTATGAATATACCACATTTTGTTAATCCATTCATCCATTGATGGACATTTGAGTGGTTTCTGTGTTTTGGCTATTATGGATTATGCTTCTATGTGCATTCATTCATAAGTTTTTGTGTGGACGTGTCCAGGATTGTCTTGAAGACTAAATGAATTAGTATCTAAGGTATCGAATATGCCCTTCAACAAATGATAACGAAGGATCTTCGAGAAAACCTGCCCAACTCCTTCAGTTTACAGATGAGCATACTGAACATGGAGAGGAGCAGAGACTTGCTTGAGGCCACCCAAGGCAGGAGAGCATAACATTGAAATGCAGGTCTGTGAGCCAGACTGCCCAGAACCAAATCCTGGTTCCACTTGGACCTGGGTTACCTTATGTAAATCCCTTCACCTCTCCGAGCCTCAGTTTACGCGTGTGTAAAATGTGGATGGTAATAGTACCTACCTCCTATGGTCGTTGATGTGAGAGTTAAACGTGCTCACTCATGTGTCTGGCACACAGTAGGTGCTTTATAAATCTCAGCTGTTGTCATTCATGGAGCACCAGCTGTGGAACTCAGGTCTCCTGGCTCCCAGGTGTGGGAAGTCTTGAATCTACACTTCCCCAGTTCCCTCGTCAGTATCATGGGCATCTTCCCAGTGTGATTGCAAGTTCCCTGGAGGAAGGAAATCCAGCTTCCTCTCGCCACTAACCTGCGCACATAGGAGGTTCTGAACGAGCACCTTTGCCCACTTTCTTAGGCTCCCCCCAACCCCAGCCCTCACTGAGAGACCCAGCTGGGCAATGTGGTAGGTGTCAGTTCTCTGCATCTTTCAAACACCCCATGAGATGACTGTGTCTCCCCTCCAGGCAGTGGACCGTGTGCCGCCATGGAGTTGGGGCCGCTGGAAGGCGGGTACCTGGAGCTTCTCAACAGCAATGCTGACCCTTTGCATCTCTACCACTTCTATGACCATGTGGACTTGGCTGGAGAAGAAGAGATCGAGCTCTGCTCAGGTGGGCTCTCCTCCCCCTGGCCCCTCCCAAGTCCGACCCCACCCCTCAGCCGGCCGTGGAGACAGTCAGCAACCACGGGAAGCGCTGACGGCCACACGCCAGTCAGCACCACGGACAGCTCCACCCCCGGCGTGATGCGCCCTCGCGGCGAGACCTCCCCCGGCCCCGCCCCGCCTCTCCCTCCCTCCCCACCAGCCCTCTTCCCAGACCTTCCCCGCTTCATCCAAGGGACTTTTCCTCCCAGAACCCGACACGGACACCATCAACTGCGAACAGTTCAGCAGGCTGTTTGACATAGAAGGTGATGAAGAGACCAGAGAGGCTTATGCCAATATCGGTGAGGAAGTGTTCTGAGCCCAGAAAGAGGACGGTGGAGGGGAAAGGTTCTTTTTCTCTTTTGTTAATCTCACCTATTCACCGTGAGCCACAGCAGGCCCCTCCCTAAGAAATCGTGGCAAAGGGGGATGCAGAATGAGGGCTAGAAGAACGAAAACTCTGGGGAGGAAGGGAGATGGAGAATGCTAAGGGACATAGACCCTTGGCTAATGACCACCAGGCCAACATATCCTCACTTTTACATCCTCTGCCCCCGTTTCTATATCTTTTTCTGTTTCTTGCTTTTCTTTCCCTCCTCCCATACACCCCTCCCTCTTTCTCCCCAGCTCCTAAGCCGAACTACTCTAGTATTCATAATAACTCTCAGTTTGGGGGCACATGTCACATGCTAGTCACTGTATGTGTGTTATCGCATCAAATCCTTACAACAAAGGAAGTAGATACTATCAGAATCTCCATTTTACAGATGAGGAAATTGAGGTTTAGATAGAAGCAATCTCCCCAAGGGTACGTTAGAAGTAGTAATGGGCAGATCTGAAATTCTAGCCTAGTTCTTTCTCCTTTCAAAGTCCCTATTTTTAAAAACAAAAAGGAAAGCATTTGGCGTGGGGAGATTGGCTGAGGCTTAAGCTGAGAGGCTGGTTTGCACCTTTAAAAAGAGCTACTCCTTTCAGACAAGGGCAGAACTGTTTGGGGAGAGTTTTTCTGTCATTGTTGTTGTTTGGGGGGTCAGGTGGGGTAAAGGACCCCTCCTCACCGGGGTCGCTCCCATCTCATACACAGGCTTTGTTGAATTGGACAAAGCTGCCCTTTTTCTGGAGGAGGCAGGCTCCATCAGGAAGTAACAGCTTGGTTATCAAAGTACAGACTGGATTTCTGCCCCCATTTGCCCTCTTAGCTGAGCACGCTTGTACAGTGAACAACCTGCACAACGGTTTTCAGTGGTCCTTTTCCTCGCAACCCAAGGACCACATCTGTGAGGAGGCTTGGGCTCCGCATGAATGTGGCCAGTCTTTCCCCAGTGCACAGTTAATCCAGCATCACACCAGGCAGAAAATAGAGAGAGGCGTGTGTGTGTCAGAAATTACAGAACTGAGAGCCTGCCTGCTTCCTTTCCTTCCTGGGAATTTTCTTGGGGGAAGCAGAAGTGTTTGGGGTTGAGGGCATTCACATTTCTGCACAACTGGAGGCAGCAGTGAAGGATTTAGGGGCTTTTTTCGCTTAGGGACATTTCCATGGGAAGTGGGAGCTGCTGAAGAAGTGGGGGAAACGGCCTCACCCAACTCTGTTCCTCAAGCCTGTGGGTTTTCTCTGTGCTGCTCAGAGGCCACACCCCGGCCTGGCCATGCCGTCGTTTAAGGCAGTTTGAAATATTACAGTGGTTTCCAAGTGCACAAAACGAGGATAATAATCACATTTGCCTCATGGACGGCTGTGAGGATTGATGAGTTTCTGTGTGTAAAGTGTTTAGAAAAGGAAGTTGCAAAGAGTACGCATTCAGTAAGTGTTGGGTACCACACCCCCTAGGACCACCATCCCCATCAGCATTATCATCTTTATCAGCAGCAGCAGTAGCATCGCTGCTCCGTTCCTCAGCTCAGAAGTCTTCTATGGCTCCCCGTTGCCTATAAAATCCAGTCCTAACTTTCCCCAACATGAAACATCTACTGCAGACACCTATCTTTCAGAGTTTCCAAAACATACCCTTCCCACAGTCTGTCGTCACTACCTCAGAAAGCCCTCCACTTTCCACCTCTCAGACTCTGCCCCATCTTTCAAGGCCTGGCTCCAAGATCCCTTCCTCTGGGAAGCCCTCCCTGATTGCCCCATCCCACTATATACTCTCTCCTCTGACCTCCTGCCATAACTGCCTTCCCATTGGCTCCAAGCCATTCCACTTCATATCATTAACCACCACTTATTGAGTGCCTACTGTGTACTGGCTACCATGTTGGATGCTTCAAATGCAGAGCCTCCAGTCCTCACCATCCATTCCTGGGTTGTAGGCATTATTTATTCTCATTACACAGAGGAGGAAAAGGGGGCCCAGAGAGGTTAAGTAACTGGCCCAAGGTTGCACAGCTAGTAAGGCTAGTAGGGAATTTAAACTCAAACCCCATGACAACTCTACCGTCTCATTGCATGACTTTATGGCAATAGATAAGTTCTCATGGACGCACATCATCCCTTGGATTAGAGTAAGAGCCCGTGAAGGGTCAACATTCCTTCCTTCGTTCGATCATTCACTCAGCAAACATTTACGGGGTCCCCACGGCGTGCCAGACCTGGAGGGTCACAGCTCCCTGGCACCTAGTCCAAGGCCTGGCCCCAGCAGCCTTCGGGGAGAGCTTGTTGACTGACCGCACTCTTCCTTGTCTGGGCAGCGGAACTGGACCAGTACGTGTTCCAGGACTCCCAGCTGGACGGTCTGAGCAAGGACATCTTCGGTAAGTTGGGAGCTCTCGGCTCAGCCTGCCTTTCCTCCCTTGCTCCTTGGGGAGTGCCCGTAATGCCCAATGGCCACCCTCTGACAGGTGGGCGGGTCCCTCCCCAACACGGGGACAGTGGAGGCTCCCCTTGGGTCTCCTCTGACTGTGCACGTTGGTGCCTTTGGTTTCTCTCCCAAGTCGAGCACATAGGCTTGGAAGAAATGATCGGTGAGAGCGTGGAAGCGCCCGAGGAAGTGGGGCAGAAAAGACGTGAGTGAGCCCCCGCCCGGATCCCTCCCAGCCTTGCTAGAGTCCTGGCCCTGCCTCGGCTCCAGAGCCTGTTGTGGCTCCCAGTTGCTTCCCTTGTTAAGTGTTGTCCACTCTGCCTGAGTTTGGGTGTCCCGCCCACCTCTGCCCTCACCCTGGAGACCACTGCTGTCCAGGGACCCCGGGAGGAAGCAGATGGCGCAGGAGCAAATGGCCACTCTCCTGGAGGGTCTCCATCCCTGGCAGGTTTTTTTCTCATCTGTTTTGTGTGTGTTGAGGAAGATTGGCCCTGAGCTAACGTCTGTTGCCAGTCTTCCTCTTTTCACTTCAGAAAGATTGTCACTGAGCTAACGTCTGTGCCAGTCTTCCTCTGTTTTATGTGGGATGCTGCCACAGCGTGGCTTGACAAGCAGTGCTAGGCCCGTGCCTGGGATCTGAACCCGCGAAACCCGGGCCACCTAAGCAGAGTGTGCGAACTTAACCAGTACACCACCGGCCAGCCCCTGGCCCTGGCTGATTTGATTGCCATTTCCAAAGGGACATTTGGTCTCTGGCTTCTCTTCCGTCCTCAGTTGTCACCCCTGTATTTGAGGGAGGTCTCTTTACACGCAGGTTCTGGAGTCAGTAAGAACTGAGTTTCAATCCTGATCTGCTATCTATTGTCTGTGTGACCTTGGGCAAGTACCTGCGCCTCTCTGACCCTCCTACTCAGTCTCTCTGCCTCCTTAATCTCCCCTCACCCGGCAGCCAACACGAGCTTCAAAATGAAAATCCCATCATTTTGCTGCCATGCTAATCCTCCAATGGCCACAAAATACTTACCTCAAGGCCTGCGTGATCTGGCCCTTCCCACCTCTGCAAACTCCCATGAGCCACTATGCTGCAGCCACACTGGCTTCTCTCCATTCCTGTAACCCACGGATGCTTTCTAGCCTCAGGGCCTTTGCACTTGCTGTTCTCTCTGTCTGCAGTGCCTCACTCCAGTTCTTCCCATGGCTGGCTCCTCTGAATCTTTTAGGTCTTGGCTGACATGTCACCACCTCCTGGAGGCCTTGACCACCCTTTCCACATAGATAAACTCACTTATTTTCACCTTGTTTGTGTCTCTCCTAGCACATTAGCACTTGTCACATCTGGACTTATTTTATTTATCATCTTTGTCTAGTTCCCCGGCTGTGAGGACAGAGACCTTGTCTTTCTTACTTGTCACTGCATCGCTGGCATCCAGCACAGGGCCTGACGAGCAGTAGCACCTGAGTAAATATAGTCCAATGAAAATAGCTGTAAAATGGGCTTAACAGCTCATTGAAGGCTGACTATGTGCCAGCCCACATGTGAGCCCTGTGCCTATTTATTCATTTTTGAACAGGTAAAACAGGTGTGTGGTGTAAAAATTCAAAAGCTGCAAAGAATATTCAATGGGGAAAAAACCTCCCTCCCAGCTCTGTCCCCCATCCCTCAGGTTCCCTCCCTGAGGGCAACTATGTGGCCAGGTTCCTTTTTGCCGTGTCAGTAATATTCTATTCATCTATAAGCCACTTCTTTAAAAAAAAAAATTCCACACAAATGACGGTGTTGTACCCACTCCTGCGCTTGGCTTTCTTCATTTAACACGTCTGGGAGGTGGCTTCCGTATCGCTGATGGAGAATGCATGGTTCTGCTTCCAGAGAATTCCTCTTTCTTTCCTTTTTTTTTGCTTTCGTTGGACAAATATTTTCCCCGATATTTTACTATGAGATTTTTCAACATATAGTCAAAGTGAAAGAATTGTACTACAAACAACCGTGTACCCACCGCTTACCTTCTACAGTTAATGTTTGGCTGTATTTGTCTTAACACAGCTCTATCCACCTGCCCATCCCTCGATCCGTGCGCCCATCCGTTCCTTTCCTTTGTGGGACATTTCCAAGGAAATTGCAGACACTGATACACTTCCCCATACAGCCTTCAGCATCCTTGTTCTTTTTGGGGGCTGCGGGGTATTTCACTGGGCAGGTGAACCCTGACTTGTTTCGTCAGCCCCTTGCTGAGGGACGCACAGGGTCTTTCTCCGTTGGAGTGCCAAGTGATGCTCGCTCGCTGATTTCCAGCGTGCTCCTGCAAAGTATGAATCACCACCCGTTTCACAGCCGAGAGAGCGAAGGCTCAGAGAGGCTGTGTTGCACAGACGCACAGCTACGAAGGGATCAAAAGCAGATTGCTTTTTATTGTTATTTTTTAAACTCAAATGCATGTTGTGTCCCCTGTATGGTTCTGCCTCTTCTGGTCCCTCCCTGCTCTGGGTGCTTCCAGGTGGGGTTTGGGGCTCCAGCAGATGAGAGGGGACAGGAATGCTCAGAGGCAGAAGAGGGAATGGACCCCCAAGGCCACTTCCCAGCCATTTAAGGCCAGGCCATATGGCCTGGTGGGCCCACAAGCCTCTTCTGGCTTGGAACACTACTTCCCTGGGGCAGCTGACCGTGATGTTCTCTCTGCAGCCTTCCCAGAGGAGCTGCCGGTGGACCGGAAGCACAGGAAGCTAGGTGAGCAGGGCGGGCTGGGCCCAGGGAGATGGCGAGGCGGGAAAGGGGGCCCTCCTGAGGCGCACGTACACTGGCAGTGGAAAGCCAAGGCTCAGAGAGGTGAAGCCACTTGTCCGAGATCACACAGCTAGTGAGAGGTGGTGCCGGGATTCAGATCAAGGTCCTGGTTCTGTGGCCCGTGCTCTGCAGGCAGGGTTAGGTGAGGGCTGCTGAGAGACTCAGCTTCTCCTACAATGGCTCTCCCCTAGCACCTCCCTCCTCTTAATTCTGAGTCCCAGCTGAGACCCCGCCCCTCGCCTCCTTCCACCGCCCTCAGGAGCCACCTAGGGTCAGCTGGTCACCCAGCGCCTCCCGCCCTCCTGACCACCCTCATGCCTCAGTGAGCCTGTTCCCCTGAGCTCACCGTGTCCTCCTGCCAGATGCTTCCTCCCCTCCCTTCCTCTCTCCTCCCCTTTCCTCCCCCCCTTCCTTCCTCTCCCCTCCCCACCCCACCCACTTGTTATTGCAAAGGTGGGGAGACCAGCCCCTGTGTGGTGAACAGACCGAGGAAGGAAAGGCTCTCACTCTGATGGAGGAGGCCTGGTCGCCGTCCTCAGAAAGTTCCGGTCTGATGGGGAGCCAGGGGCCCCGCCCGTGAGAGCCCCAGGACGGTGGAGAAGCAGTCCCTGTCTTCAAGGAGCTCCCGATCTGATGGGGGAGGCGTCTCCACCCTCCTGGATCTCTCAGTTGAATGGAGGAAATGATCCCTGCCCCAGTCTGGTGGGAAGTGATGGGGGCTCTCAGGGTGCCCGAGGGGCTCAGGGGCTGGCTGTGGAAGGTGGCAGGGGCCTGGAGCCAACAGCCTGTTTTCAGGTCTGTCCGGCCACAGCTCTCCATCTTGGGAAGCCCTCGGGGCCCAGTCACAAGGAGATGGGTGGGGGGCCGGGCACAGAGCCGCTGTCCATCAAACCAGCCTCACCCAGGGCTGAGGAGAGGACGGGAGCTTCTCCAGCTCCCAGGAGACAGACCTAGTCTGCTCTCAAAGCCCTCCCCACCCCAGGAAGGCCCTCCAGGCCCCCAGATCTCACCCAGCCTCTCACACGGCCCCCTTCCTCACAGCCGAGCCCCCCGCCGTGCCCATGGTGACTGGCACTTTCCTGGTGGGGCCAGTGAGTGACCCCTCGACTCTGCCCTGCCCGTCGCCGGCTGCTCTGTTTAACAAGGAGCCAGCATCCAGCCAGACCCGGGTGGAAGAAACCGTCCTGATGCCCGGTATGTTAGGGGCTTGGAAAAGGGTGGGCTGCCCTGCTCGGGGAGGCGCCCGAGGAGTGGCTAAGGCAGGGACCACCAGGGCCAGGAATCCCCCTGCCCCCATCACCGTCACCCACTTCCGTCCCAGCCAGCCCCATCCTTACGGTCCTCACCAGCTCAGCTCGTGCCAGAGAACATGCCTCGGAAGGAGCATGTTCCTGGGAGGCACAGGAAGGAAGTTCCCCCTGTTAGGGGCTCCTCCCTCCAGCCCTGTACTTTCATCCACTAGCTGGGGACAGAGTACCTGCTCTGTGCCAGCCACTCTGCTAGGGGCTGGGGACACCGCCATGGGCGCGACAGACACAGCTGCTGCTCTGGGGGAAACGGGAGCCCTTTAAAAAACGAGTCCGGGGGCCGGCCCAGTGGCGCAGCGGTTAAGCGTGCACATTCCGCTTCGGCGGCCTGGGGTTCGCCAGTTCAGATCCCAGGTGTGGACGTGGCACCGCTTGGCACGCCATGCTGTGTTAGGCATCCCACATATAAAGTAGAGGAAGATGGGCATGGATGTTAGCTCAGGGCCAGCCTTCCTCAGCAAAAAAAAAAAAAAAAAAAAGAAAAGAAAAGAAAAGAGGAGGCTTGGCAGATGTTAGCTCATGGCTAATCTTCCTAAAAAAAAAAAATGAGTCAGATGTTAACCAAATAGCCACAGAACAGGATTACAAGCGTAGTTGCTGTGGGGGGGGGGGGTCCCAACTTCCCACCTTTGTGTCTTGCAGCGCCCCCCTCCACTTCCTTGCTGAGCTGTTTGAGTCTCCCCGCCGGGCCCATTCAGATCGTCCCCACTCTCCCCACTCTGCCCCAGGGGCTCTGGCAAATCTCAGGGGCTGGGACCGGGGTCTCTGGTGTATTCATCTACCAAGGTGAGTGTGTCATGGACTCCCTGACTTGGTCCTCCCCCCACCTCGGGTATTTGGCAATTATAACCCAGCACTTTCTCATGATCCTCCCTCCCCAGAATACCCTCCTCTGTCCCCATTTCCCCAAAATCAAAGCCGAGGAGCAGAGCTCCCCGTGGTGGTCTGGATGAGTGGTCCAATGAGTGGCTGTGTGGTCTTCCATGTCTCAATTTCCCCTCCCCCCGAGCCTTAGTTTTTCTTCTTTTTTTAATTTAAACTTTATTGTATTTTTAAATCACAACATCCATACATGCTCATTAATAAGCCAAACAATAAGAGATGCTTGCAAGTGTTACTGAGTCGCTCCCTTATTCGTTTAGTATGCTACTGTCAACAGTTTGGTGTGTATCCTTGCACAGCTTTCTCTGAATTGCCCTGTTTCCTGATCAGCAAAATGGCCCCCGCTGACTTGCCACACTGAATTGTGGGGTTGTGAATTGTCCAGGGGAAGGCATCTTTGGGCTGGCAGGGATGGGAAAGAGGATGAGGCCAGGGGGAACACTTCCACTCAATTTGAGAGCATCCTTTGAAGGCTGCGTGCCAGTTTTTGTACAATGCATCAGTGCCCCAGAAGGGAGCCTTCCTGATGTCTAGGAAGATGAGGACTGGTCACACAGCAAGAAACGTGCTGTCATAGCACCTGCTCTGAGCTCCCTATGAAGCTTTTCGTGTCCATTTCCCAGATGGAGAAACCAAGACTTTAGGAGCTAGATGTCTCTCTGGACCTCTTTCCTTGATTCCGTCCTGGAACGTCCTCCTTTGGAAGTTCTCTGTCCTCTCCCCAGACTTCCCAAGCCCCACAGCCTGATTTGGGGTGGGGGTGACCCCAGTGGGTTCCTGGATGGGTGCCTGGTTTTCTTATGCCCCTCTCCCTCCCACTGTAGGCGAGCTGCCCCAGGCTAGCCAAGCGCCCCCGCCCAGCAGCCCAGCTGTCCACAGCCTCCCGAAGTCCCCAGACCGGCCTGGTTCCACCAGCCCCTTTGCCCCATCGGCAGCTGACCTTCCTGGCATGCCCGAACCAGCCCTGACCTCCCGTGCCCACGTGACCGGTAAGGACCTCGGGGTCCGTGAGATTGCTGGAAGCGGGGTTGAGGCCCCGGGGAAGGAGTTGCCTCAGAGGGTCAGGATCCACAGATGGGGCTGCCTGCGGGAACGGCGGGTCGTGTTTATGGGCAAAACAGGGCAGGGAGCGTCTCTGGGGAGTTGCCTGGACAATCCGTGTCCCATCTGAAGGGACAGCTGCTTGTCACCCGAGCAGGACAGCCCGCCCAGTGTGGCCGGATCTTCCAAACCATCAGCAGAATCCGGAAATCCTGATTTTTACATAGATATGGTGGTTTTTAAAACATTGGTGAAATTTTTTAAAGTACGGCTAGCCAGAGGAAGACATCTTCCTGTAGGAGACAGCCTCAGGCCATGACCTCTAACCTCCATCTTGACATCCCCAGTCCTTGTGGGCTCCGCCCTCGGGATACTAGGAGGACTGAGGGCCCCAGAGGGAGGGAGGCCGCGGGGCGCCCCCACCGGAACTCCGACACCGGCTTCTTCCTCTCCAGAGGACCAGGTGTCGCCCACCCGATGCCAGGCAGCTCACGAGGGCTCCAGCAAGCCTCCAAAATGGCCCGGTGAGTGGTGGCAGGGTCCCCTGCCCTCCGGGCTGGAGGCCGACGCCCAGATCTGACTTCACTTCACTCATTCACTCAACACTCCTTCAACCCATTCGTTCATTCACTTACTCATTTGATTCTGCCATCATTTCAGCCTTCATTCCGCCACTTACACTTGAGTAATACTTACTGAGGACCCACCCTCGTCAGTGCACGCTGGGTGTTGACGTCTTGTTTGCGAGGCTGAGAGAATGAATGAGGGAAGAGGGCATGACGGATGATGAGTATGGAAGTGATGGAGGGTGGGAATGAAAGAGCAAATCAGAGAACGGCCAAATTACCCTGTCTTACTCTGTTCCCGGTACTCTCCCAAGCCTGTTAGATATATTAAATCATTGTAGTCGCAAACAACCCTAACATTATCCCCATTTTACAGATGGGGAAACTGAGGCACGGTAGGATCTAGAACATGCTCAGGTTGACACTAGCAAGTGGTGGAGCTAGGATTTGAACCAGACACACACAGAGATTCCACTATCTTAACTTTTAACACCACTCCCCCCATGGCCTTCCTATAGTGAGTGAGCAAAAGAAGGAGGCAGTTGGTGTGTAAATGAAGACGTGGATAGATAGAGTAAGAAGATGAATGAATGAATGGGTGTGGGAATGAATGAAGGAAGGAATGAATGAGGGTCTGGGTAACTGAAGGAGGCAGCTAAGAAAGAAGGCAGTCGATGAACACTGTGTGGTGAATGGATGCAGAAGCTAGTGATGGTGGCTGGGCTGGCCTCTCTGCTGTCCACATGGCGGCCCGTCCCGTAACTAGCATCCCCCCCGCCCCAAAACCCCTTGGCCTTTACAGAGAGCGTGGAGAAGTTCTACCGCTCGCTCCAGGACAGGTACCAGGCCGAGCCCGCAGGCCCGGACGGCATCCTGGTGGAGGTGGACCTGGTGAGGGCGCGGCTGGAGCGGAGCAGCAGCAAGAGCTTGGAGAGGGAGCTGGCCACCCCAGACTGGACAGAGCGGCAGCCGGCCTGCGGGGGTCTGGCCGAGGTGCTGCTGGCTGCGGGCGACCGCCGGCGGCCGCGTGAGACGCAGCTGATTGCCGTGCTCGGCAAAGCAGGACATGGGAAGAGTTGCTGGGCCCGGGCAGTGAGCCGGGCCTGGGCCTGCGGCCGGCTGCCGCAGTATGACTTTGTCTTCTTCTTCCCCTGCCGCTGTCTGGACCGTCCTGGGGACGCCTACCGCCTGCAGGACCTCCTCTTCTCCCTGGGCCCGCAGCCACTGCCCGTGGACGATGAGGTCTTCAGTCACATCTTAAGGAGGCCGGACCGCGTGCTGCTCATCCTGGATGCCTTCGAGGAGCTGGAAGCTCAGGATGGCTTCTTGCACAGCGTGTGCGGACCTGTGTCCCCGGAGCCGCGCTCCCTCGGGGGGCTGCTGGCGGGCCTGTTCCAGCGCAAGCTGCTGCGTGGCTGTACCCTCCTGCTCACGGCCCGGCCCCGGGGCCGCCTGGCCCAGAGCCTGAGCAAGGCTGACGCCCTGTTCGAGATGGCCGGCTTCTCAGCCGAGCAGGCCGAGACCTACGTGAGGTGCTACTTCGAGCTTTCGGGGGACAGTGAACATCAGGAGAGAGCCCTGGAGCTCCTGCGGGGCCAGCCGTTTCTGCTCGGTCACAGCCACAGCCCCACGGTGTGCCGGGCCGTGTGCCAGCTCTCTGAGGCCCTCCTGGAGCGGGGCGACGAGGCCGAGCTGCCCTCCACGCTCACCGGACTCTACGTTGGCCTTCTCAGCCCGGCAGCCCGTGACAGCCCCCCAGGGGCGCTGGTGGCGCTGGCCAGGCTGGCCTGGGAGCTGGGCCGCCAGCACCACGGCACCGTGCGCGAGGGCCAGTTCCCGTCGGCGGAGGTGACGGCCTGGGCTGTGGCCAAAGGCTTGGTGCAGCCCATCCCGGGGGCCCCGGAGCCCGAGCTGGCTTTCTCCAGCTTCCTCCTGCAGTGCTTCCTGGGGGCCGTGTGGCTGGCTCTGAGCGGCGAGATCAAGGACAAGGAGCTGCCGCAGTATTTGGCGCTGACCCCAAGGAAGAAGAGGCCCTATGACAACTGGCTGGAGGGCGTGCCGCGCTTTCTGGCCGGGCTGGTCTTCCAGCCTCGCGCCCGCTGCCTGGGAGCCCTGGCGGGGCCCGAGGGCACCACGCTGGCGGACAGGAAGCAGAAGGCGCTCACCAGGTACTTGAAGCGGCTGCAGCCGGGGATGCTGCGCGCAGGGCGGCTCCTGGAGCTGCTGCACTGCGCCCACGAGGCCCTGGACGCCGGGCTCTGGCAGCACGTGGTGCAGGGGCTCCCCGCCTGCCTCTCCTTCCTGGGCACCCGGCTCACGCCTCCCGATACCCACGTGCTGGGCAGCGCCCTGGAGGCGGCCGGCCGAGACTTCTCCCTGGACCTCCGCAGCACTGGTATTGACCCCTCTGGACTGGGGAACCTCGTGGGACTCAGCTGTGTCACCCGTTTCAGGTGGGGGCAGGGGACAGGGGAGGGGGCTTCTTTGCACGGGGCGCCTGCTGTGGTCTCGGGGCTGTGCCCGGTGCTGGCTCTGTGGGGTCTCCTTGAGTGTGCACAGCAGCCAGCTGGAGGCAGAACTGATTCCTTCCATTCTTTAGATGAGGAACCCAAGGCTCAGAGAGGGACAGCAGCTCGCCCAAGGTCACACTTTGAAAGCCCGCCATGTGCCAGGCCTGGGCCACGTCTAGAATCTGGGACATATCTGAAATTAAATTCGTTTTCTTCTCTCCATCCCCTGATCAAGCCACCAATTAGTCATGGGTGGATTAAAAGCCACAGCCTCCACTTGACCTCCCTTCTCCATTCTCTCCTCTGCCACTCCACTTTATATTCAACCATGAGAGCCATCTTCCCAGAACTTGCTTTTGATCATACTCCACCCCTGCTTACAACCCTTCAGAGGCACCCCTCTCCCCTCAGAATGAGCTCTAAATCCCTTAATTTGGTGCATTCAAGGCCTTCTGCAACCTGTTTGATCACTTCAGCTTAATCTCCAGAGAATCTCTCCCACCTTCCCCCTAAACATACTTTACCCAAGCTCTAGGGTCCTACACCATTGGAGTGGTTCAGCCAAGAATTTAGCACTGAGCTTCCTGGTAGCCAAAGCAAAAAGGGAAATGCAACCACTGGGAGAATTGAGAAAAAGGAGGAATTGATAAGGGCTGGAGGGGTCATGGAAGGCTTCCTGGAGGAGGTAGGGGTTAAGCTGAGGAAGTAAAGTATCTGAATAGGTAGGAGGTCCCTTCATGGAGCTGCCCCTCCATTACGGTCTAGCCCGGCCACCGTGCCTGGGTCTGAGGCCCCTCCTCCACAGGGCCGCCTTGAGTGACACGGTGGGGCTGTGGGAGTCCCTACAGCAGCGTGGGGAGGCCAAGCTACTCCGGGCAGCGGAGGAGAAGTTCACCATCGAACCTTTCAAGGCTGAGTCCATGAAGGATGTGGATGACCTGGGCAACCTCGTGCAGATCCAGAGGTGAGGGGGAGAGGGTGTGCGGGTTGAGGACACGCAGGACCCAATGTTAAGTTTGCCATGAGCACTTCCAGTGCCTCCTCTCCTTTGGGACATGCCCTGCCCTCGCCCTGGAGAGCGGCCACCCGGAACCTCTCTCTGCTGTCCCCACCCGGGCAGGGCCCCCAGGACTTATCGCTTCATCCCATTCAAACTCGCCATCATGCACCCGATTCTTTCTCAGCAGAAGCCAGGGAGGTAGTCTCCCCTGCTAAGAGTTACGAGCTGCCTTCTGCACCTAGTGACAGAAATGACCCCTGTGGCCACCATTCAAGGCGGCCAGGACCAGCATGGCCCCCATTTTATAGATGGCAGGGCCCTAAGGTCCAGAGGGCAGAGGAAACCTGGCCACAGACCAACCATCCTTTGCTCATCCCTTCATCATCCGTTGTTTGAGCACCTACTGTGCGCCGTCGGGGGTGGGTGTTCGTAAGTGCCTACCCTGAGGCTCTTTTCCGTGAAGCACACAGTGATGCCCTAAAGACGTGCTGTCCTGAGGTTTTTCTTTTAACAGGCCCTGGGGCAGGCGTGCTGGGACACACGGGTAGGGGCTCAGCAAGAGGTGAGGAGCCTGCTCCCTCGAACGTTGCCGTTCTTTCCAGGACAAGAAGTTCCTCGGAAGATGTGGCTGGGGATCTCCCCGCTGTCCGGGACCTGAAGAAGCTGGAGTTTGCGTAAGCAAAGGGCTGGATTGTTTTGGGTCCCCACTAGGTGTCTTTGCCATCATTAGCTGGGCTTGTGCCACCGGAATGGAGATGGGGCTGCAGAATCCTTCTTACCCTCTCTCCCCATCACTCTGGATACCAGCTTCCAGCAGCTGGGGCATGGCTGGTCTGGCTAGTGCTGGGGTTTCTCGTGTGTGAGGCTACCTGGCTCATCTACTGGGGAACATGGTCATACAGCAGAGCTGCTTGATGAGCCAGGCCGCTCTCCTCCGCGAGCCTGCAGCCTAGTGCAAAGAGACAGTTACACCTGCTGCAGTTGATGGCAGGAAACTCAAGGGCTGCCAGAGTGCGGACTTGCGGGCAGTCAGGGGGACTTCCTGGAGGAGGCAGTTGAAGCCTTGACACTTGACAAAGGAGTAGGAATGAGCTGGGGTTGAGGGGGAGGCCACGTGGGGTGGAGAAATTATCATCTCCCCATTGTGCAGACGCAGTCACCGATGCCTAGAGCGTGTGAATTGTCCAAAGGCACGAGAGTCAGGCCAGCCCGGCTCTTGCTCTGACAAAGGAAAAAGTTAAATTCGCGTTTGTCATTGTTAGGGATCCGAAATCATCCAACGATAGGGAAGGAATTATTAAACACCGATAGTGTACTTGGCGCATTTTGTATATCATCTCATTAATTTCAAGAGCTGCTCCCAGAGACAGCCTTTATCTTCTCCATTTGACAGATGAGGAAACTGAGGCCCAGTGAACTTAAGTCACTTGCCCGAGGTCCCCAGCTGGTCACCCACACGCTGTCTGCCCCTCCTGATCACTGGTCCCCCCACACCCCCCTAAAAAAGCTAAGTGTTTCTTGTTTTCAATGGAGATAAGGTACCAAATTTGTGCAGAGGTAAAAATGTTGCTGAAAAGAGGAAATGTATGAAAACAATCACCAAGGGCCCTTTCTGGCTTTGAATTATTTTCAGCTTAAAAAGCCCCTAGTTCGAGGTCGGAACTGTGGTCTGGGGCACAGTAGCTGTGGAGTGGAACAGCCCAGAACCAGGACACTCGCCACCTGGAGGCCGGAAGCCCCGAGAAAGTTCTGAGGAAGGAAGGAAGGAAAGGACTATTCTGGGTGTGTGACTGGCAGCCACTGTGCCAGGCACCCTGTGGTCCTCACCCGCCCCTAGATCAGGCTCAAAACTCTACAGGGACTCTGCTGGGAGATGGTCCTTCCCCGGTCTGGCCCCCATTTACCTCTTCACCCTTATCTCTCATCTCTTGCTCACTCCACACCAGTCACATGGGTCTCCTTGATGCGTTTCAGCCTTGCTAGGCGTGGTCTGGCCTCTGGGCCTTTGCATCGGCTGTGCCTTCTGCCAGGGTGCCCTTCCCTGATATCTGCCCGGCCCACGCCCTGACTGCCTTCTGGTTTTTGCTGAGCGAGGCCTTTTCCGACTCCTCGATTTAAAAGCGTGATTCCGCCCCCTCAACACTGTACTTTCCCCTCGTCCCTTATTATCTCCCACACCAGATGGTTTACCGATTTCTTTGATTATCTAGACTGCCAGCTCCACAGGACGAGGACTTTTGTCTTTGTTGTTCGCTAGCTGTCTCCGTGACACACAGTAGGGCCTGGCACACAGTAGGCCAGCAATCAAGATTTGATGAATGAGTTCCTTAATCCTTCCAACGACCGCATAAATTTGGGGTCACATTGGAGGAGACCGAGACTCAAAGGTGAAGGGATTTTCCCCAAAGGCCCCACGGGAGCTGAGTGGCAGAGCCCAGATTCAAATCAGATTTCAGACTCCCATGTGTGGCCCTTCATGGAGCCTAGCGGTTCCCAGACTTTGGGATTTCAAAGACTGAGAATATTTCAGAGTGAATTTGAGTGACTATGTACAGTTACCATCTTTTCATTTTCATCAAGTTATGTTTATTCAAACGAGCAAAATAACCACGGTTGGCAGCATAATTTTATCAATGAATGAACATTGTAATGTCAAAAAAGCCCAAGGGACATAATTTCAGAATAAAAGACAGTTCTTTACATTGAGTACATTTAATCATCTTTTAAAAACAAAGCCAAAGAGCCTTCCATTGTCTTTATTTTTCTCATCCCTTAAAGTCTGGTCTAAATGTCAATCCAGGCTGTGTGACCTTGTATGGGTTAGTTAACCTCTCTGTGCCTCTGTTTCCCCATCTGTAAAGGGAAGACAAGAAGCGCCCTTAGCTCAGTCGTCGTGAGGATTAAATGAGATCTAATCTGAGTGAGGGACCCATCGTGTGCCTGGTACATAATAAGTACTCCAGAAATGGTTCTCTTTGTCACTAAAACACAACGGCAAATAAGTAAACGACCTTCCTCAGGACTGCTGGTGGCCCTCCATCAGCATTTGGGAACCATGGCTCCGTGCCAGGGTGGGAGAAGGGTGCGTGTGGATGTGGGCAGGAGTGCGCCCTGGCTTGTCCTCTCAAAGATGAAACCTGGGGAGCCCCCAGCTGGGAGCCCAGCTGGCCGCCTGGGGGGGGCTTTGTGAAATGTGCCCTGAGCAGAAAGGATTGGGGTCCCGCCTGGTGGGGGAGGTAAGGCACCGGGGAGGCGGGGCCAGCGAGGGGCCCTCAGATGGGCCTGCCTTCTGTGCCCTGGGGTGGAATCGAGGGGCCGTGACCATTCGGGTCCTCTCTCTGCTCTTTGCCTCCCAGGCTGGGCCCCGTCCTGGGCCCCCAGGCTTTCCCCAGGCTGGTGAGGATCCTTGAGGCCTTTTCCTCCCTTCAGCATCTGGAGTGAGTAAAGACCCTGACCCCTCCCCGCCCTGTCGGGCTTTGACCACCCCCACTCTGCCCCGTCCGTCCGTCTCCCTCTCTCTGTCCTCCTGTGTCCTCCTGCGGCCGCTGTGAGTGAGCAGATGACCCCACTGCAGGGGAGGGACGGCAGACAGGAGACCCCAATAATAAAAAAAGTTCGCTCCTTTCGTGACCTTTGAAACTCTTCCCTCCCCGGCCTCGTCGCCGCCTCCAGCAAGGCTACGGGGAAACAGCAGGTCAGGAGCATGGTCTCTCTGTGCAGTTGAGGCCCCCAGAGGTTCAGGGAGCTATGCAAGCTCACGGGGCTCCCAGGAAGGAAAACAGGGATTCAGTCCATGGGGAGTTAGAGCCTTGTCCCCTGGCCGGCCAGTTAGTGGCTCCCGGAGGGAAGAAGACGTGCTCTCAAAAGCTCGGGGCGGCCACCCCCCGTGGTGTGTCCAGGGGTGGGGGTAAGGGGGGAGCCACTGCTGGGTGGAGGGATGGGGACGGGGAGGTGGCCTCCGGTGCTGGCTGATGGCCCCCATCTGATTCCACCTGCAGCCTGGACTCGCTGAGCGAGAACAAGATCGGGGACGAGGGCGTCGCTCAGCTCTCGGCCACCTTCCCGCAGCTGAAGGCCCTGGAGACGCTCAAGTGAGTGGGCTGGGCCCGTCCTTCCTGCTGCGTTTGGCCCCCACGTCCAGCTGGCGTTTCATTCCTTTACTCATTCACCCATTCACTCATTCGTTCGTTCGGTCCTTCAGTCGTTCACTCATTCGTCCAACCACTCATTCAGTCGTTTCTTTCTTCACTCCATCATCCGTTCAGCCGGTCACCTATTCATTTAACCAGCAAATGCTGAAGGACCGCCTGCCACGTACAGGCACCCTTCCAGGCCCTGGAGACCCCCCTTTAAATAAAACAGCCCCCGACCCCCTGCATCTTCTGATGAGGAGACACAAGGAGCAAACCAACGACAAATCCCTAATTACAAAGTATTCAGTAATGACTGGGAACCATGTGGAGGGAGAGAAAATGACACTGAAGGGCGACATAGGAGAGAGGTTAGGATGTATGGGTAAAAATAGTAAAGTTTTTTTTAAAAAAAGTGTCCTGGGCTTCGGGAAGGAGGAGACAGATATGAGGCAGAAGGATCAACATGATTTTTTACCGAACATAGAGGGTGTCATCAAAATCTATGCGCACTCCTCTTGGTAACTGTGATGGACAGCTGTCAAATCCACCAGAGTTCCCTCAGGGCTCTCCTTGATTGTGGACACTGAGACTTCTCAAGTGATTTAGGGTGTTCTAGGTAACGCTGCGAGCAAGCTAGAGTTCCCTCCCTCCGCCCCCTTCTTCCCCCCACTTAAATGTTAATTGAGCACCTACTATGTGCTCAGCACTGCTCCAGGCGCAGGGACGCAGTAATGAACAGACACGACCCCTCGCCTCGCGGAGCCCACAGCCATTAAACGAAATAACACGAACACTTATTTAGTTACAGTGCTGTGAAGTGGCCCAAAGGGAAAAGGAAGGATGCTATAAAATCGTAGAACGGTGAAGGGGGGGAGAGCGACCTCTCTCCCTCCTCTGATCCTCCGCTCACCACCCCACTCAGCCACGGGATGAGACAGTATCTTTTGCTTTATCAAGAGTTAGCGGAAGCCAACGCACAGGGCCATTCACAGTTCATTGCCCACGACTCTCACGGAGGGCGCCGGCCATGTGCAGGCTGCTCCAGGCCGCCCCGTGAGGAAGCGAGAGTTCCCCAGCTCCGCCCGAACCCCGGGCCGATGGACGCGGATGGGGACGGGGCGTGCGATCGGGCCTGAGCCCTGCCCGTCGCTGTCTCCCTGCAGCCTGTCCCAGAACAGCATCACCGACGTGGGCGCCTGCAAGCTCGCCGAGGCCCTGCCCGCGCTGGCCATGTCCCTCCTCAGGCTGAGGTGAGTGGGGCCCCGCATCGGCCAGGAGCCTGGCCGGTGGGCTGGGGGAGGGCGGGGAGGCCCCTCGTGCCAGCTGCAAAGCCCCACACTGGGACCTCAAGGCGATCTCTATGGGCTGTGCTGTGTCGGTGCTGCGCTCTGCAGGGGTCGGGGAGGGGCATCGACCTAAACTCCACTGTGAACACACCCCCCGGCGTTGGGCCATGCCACGGCCCCACAAGAGGGTGAGCAGGACCTGGGGAAAGAGCATCTCACACACTCGGGGCGAGTCACTGACTCATCCCAAGCCTGTTTCCTCGCCTGGAAAATGGGTACCACCCAGTGGCCCATGGAAAGAGCTCTGTTGTGCAGCACATAGGGGTCCCCTTTCTTCAGGGGCTGGCAGCACTGGGCCTTTTCTGGAGTCCGGGGTGGCGGATTCTAGAAGGCTGACCACATGCATGCAGGTAGCCTGTCTGGCTCTTGTCCCTCGAACACCAGGCAGTGCCTACACTGCCACCTCCTGGCGGGCCTTGGCACAGCTCTTCTTGCTTTCGATGACCTCCGGCTGCTGGCCCTGGTGGCCCTGGGGACTAAAGAGGGGACTGAGAGCTTGGACCAGAGCCCCAGTCGTTCAGCTCAGTGCTGCCAGCTCTCCTCTCTCGCCAGGCCAGGAGGAACTTCCCTCTCCTTCCCCGGCCCTCCTCACCTGCTGAGGACACCCAGAGTCAGATTCCCAGGGGCGATGGCGTCTGGTTCAGCTAGCTGTTGCCGCATCCATTCTCTAGCCTTCCAGCTAGGGTCACCGGGTGCAGCTGTGTAGGTTGTGTACTGTGCAACTCGTAGTCTATGGGATTGGCACCCCCTAGAGTTGTGCAGGGCATCTAATGTTCTCTCATGTCAACCACGAGCAGACCCTGTGCTAGGAGCTAGGATGCAACTAAGGACAAAACGAGTGTGGTTCTTGCTTTCAAGTCTCTTGCATAATAAATAAGTAAGCACATGCATAAATAAAGTAATTTAAAATAGTGATTCATCCTGGGAAGGAAACTAACAAGGGCCCAAGAGGGTGCCAGAGGGAGTACTGAGTTCACTGGGGAGGTCAGGAGACCTCTGAGGAGGTGACCCTTCCCCTGCCATGGGAAGCTCTCGGGAAAAAGCATTCCAGGAAGACGGAACAGCAGATGCAAAGGCCCCGAGGTGGGAAAGAGGTTGGGTCTTTGAGGGACTGAAAGGCCACAGTGGCGGGCTACAGGGAATGAGGGACAGAGGGTGGGGGAGGTCAGAGGAGGTCAGATCCTGCGGGAAGGCCCTTGTAGGTCAGGAGGGGGGTTCTGGAGTTTTCTATTGTGAATGGAGAAGCAGGTGGGGCGTGTGGGGTGATACCTGATCTGATGGACCCTTTAAGAAACGTCATATTTTATGGAATCTGAGATGCCATCCATTGTAAGACACCATTAAGAGGACAAAACGCTGCTAATGGAACTGACACGCATTGATTATCAGTCGCCGCCCGATCTGAATATGTTCTGATGTGAACAAGTACGCTTGGCATCAATGAAATGCGGGGAGAATTCTCTGCCTGTGGGGGTCAGAGGGGGCTCCTGGGTCCTTGGACCCACCCCAGGAAGAGACCGGAAGCCCCCACCTGCTTCCTGCCTGGGTACCGGCCGACCCGCGACGTCAGGGGATGCTGGAGCTCGGCCTGAATCCACTTTGCTGTGGTGTAGACCTCCTGCTTTTACAGGCAGCCCTGCAGTGGGGCCCTGGGGCTGAGTCACGGCCAAGTCATGGCCTTGAAATTAGAACCTCGCAGCGCGTGGCTCATTAAAGGGACGCTGGCTGATGAGTGTATGGTTTAAGTTGGCCCCAGTGACACCATGCTGCTCGTGTGGCTGTGGCTACACCCCTGAAACCTGAGCCGGCCCAGTGACTCCGGGTTTTTCTCTCCTCTTCTGTCCCCAGGGCTGGTCACACCCTCTACAGTAACCCACGTGGCCCTCAGACCCCCCTGGGAGTGGTAATAACTGTAGCTAGCAGTAGCTCCTTCCACGTGCTGGGCCCTTCTGGGTGTTTTACCAGCACTAACTCATTTACTCCTCCCCACAATGACACCATCGTGCCCCTTTTGTGGAGGAGCAAATTGAGTCACAGAGGAGTCAAGTAACTCCCCAAAGGTCACACAGGCGGCAAGACTTCCTGAGATTTGAACTCGGGTAGTGTCAGCCAGGAGGCGACTTCCACTTGTCCTGCCGCTTTCCCTGGACTTGCTGTGTGACCACGGAGAAGCAGCCTCCACTCTCTGGGCCTGTTTGCCCCTCTGTACAATAGGGCCGTCATCCGGGCTGGATGTGGGTCCCCCGGGGCCCTGGCTGCCTGGCGCCCCCAGCCCCCGCCCTGCCCTCTGTTTCCGCAGCTTGTACAATAACTGCATCTGCGACGTGGGAGCCGAGAGCCTGGCGCACGTGCTTCCAGACATGGTGTCGCTGCGGGTGTTGGAGTGAGCGTGGGCGCCTGGGCGGCGGGCGGCAGGACCGGGGCCTGGGGAGACCGGGGGTGTCTCGTGAGAGGCTGGGCTGAGGTCCGGCTGTCGAGAGCGTGGTGGTGCCTTGGTCGGGGCGGGGTGGTCCCGAGGGCCGGGCCTCAGGACCGTCTCTCTCCCCAGTGTCCAGTACAACAAGTTCACGGCCGCCGGGGCCCAGCAGCTCGCGGCCAGCCTGAGGAAGTGCCCGCACGTGGAGACGCTGGCGTGAGTCCCGGCAGCCCCACGGGGGGTGGGCCACCCGCTCCCCAGGCTGCGGGTCAGCGTGTGAGCCCTGCGCTCAGATCCCGCCTGGCCCCTTGCCCACCTGCCACCCTGGGCGAGCAGACGCCGCACGCCTCTGGCCTCAGTTCCTTTGTCGGTGAAATGGGACTGAGGATATTTACCCCCCGGGCAGTTTGTGAGGTCAAATTAGTCAACGCAGGTAAAGCACGTACAGTAGTGTCTGGTACGCGGAAATGCTCAATGTATTCATTTGAATGATATGAAATCGCTTGTATTCAACCATTTTGACGTACAAAATTGGCAATTTCATATAGTTCGAACTTTATTATTATGACGTCACCCTGATGTCTAACGGCCAATTCTGGTAGTTGGTACTCTTTCAAAGCACCTTCATCTACGTCATCATCCATATCTTCTAAGACGGATGGGGTGCATCTTATAACACCCATTTCACAGATGAGGGGAATAAGGCACAGAGAAGTTATCTAACCTTTTTGAAGTAACACAGCAACTCAGCAGCAGAACCAGGTCTAAAGACAGGGGACTCAGGGCTCCTAGGCCTCTGCCGTCCCCGTGTGACCACTCTGGTCTGCTCCTGCCAGGTGGGAAGTCCCCAAGGCTCTACGCTGGGTGAGAGGAGGCATTTGGTGGCAGCTTGTTTTGGGGGCTCCAGGCTACCCTCTGTCCCCTAACCTGGCCTCTGTGTCCCATGCCCCATCGCAGGATGTGGACACCCACCATCCCATTTGGCGTCCAGGAACACCTCCAGCAGCTGGACTCCCGGATCAGCCTGAGATGATCCCAGCCGTGCCCGGGACAAGGTGGCTGGGGTGGGCTTGGGAGGGAGAAACGCAGGGGCCCCGGGGGAGAGTGTCCCGGGGGAGGAGGAATCCATCAAAAGTGGGCGGGGGCAGCGTGGGAGCTGGGTGATGGCCCCTGGACCGTGCACTGTCTGGGGCCCCCGTCTACGTGCTGGGCTCAGTGGATGGGTCCTGAGGTTTGAGGCCTTGCGCTCTGAGGACCCGCCTGTGGTCAGCTTGGAGACGGGGGGAAGGACAGGGTGGGTCAGCATCCCCATCCCATAGCCCTTAGCATTGGGCAGGTCCTCTTCCGGGAGTCATGCCATCTCTGCGGCCGTTTCCATGCGGGCTGCCCCGATGCCCCACAGCGTCTTCACAGGAACTGGCTCCACACGTTTCCTGTCTCTAACTGTGCAGCTGGCCGTCCCTTCACTCCCGTGCTCCCCTGACCCACGACGTCCCCCTCCTCCCTTCCCACTGTCCCTCCCACCCCCCATCTTGACAGCCGGCTCTCATGTGTCACGCTGCCCCCTCCTAAAGCTTCCTGACCTCCCACAGCACCTTCTCTGAGGACACTGACCACGCTGGACCTTGGTCTGGTTATCTGGGGACACAGCTCTTCCTGGCTGTATCCCATGAGCCTCGGCGTCCCGGCTCGGTGTCAGCCCCGTCCAGCTGCGGAAGGACCAGGGCCTGCTCTGCGGATGGACTCGGGCCTGGCTCCAGGCTCCTTCGGGCTCAGGACGATGCCAGCCCTGCTCTGCCGCTGCGGCCCTGGCAGACAGGCGGGCACCTAGTGGCAGCTGCAGTCCTCTAGGAGCCCTGGGGCACTCCCTGTGGGACACTCCAGACGGCGTGGCTGGGCCAGAGTCAGGGACGGAGGTGGCCACCCCTCTGCCTCCCGGATGCCTGCAGCCTGGGGAGGAAGCCCTTCTCCACGTCGCCCTCCTCACAGGCACCCCCGGTCTGCTCGTTCCAGGCGCCAGGCCGGGACTCGGTGGCAGCTGCTTTCTGGCTGTGGGACTCACTGTTTGCACTAACTTTGTTGGCCGAGGCCAAGCTAGGCCTGGCCAGATGCACTGGACCTTTGCACAAAACTGCGGATGGTACACTAACGGGGGGGAGATGGACGGGAGCCACGTCTGCGGGTCCTCTGTCACTCCCTGTGCCTCCACTACATGATAAACGTCTTGTTGCCTCCCCCGCAGGCCGGTGCTGCAGTTTCTCCCACCATCACCGTTTCGGGCGCCCACTGCCCCGGTTGTCTGACGGATCCCAGACCAGCCCAAACACACGGCCTTAAAACGGCACACACGTCAGTTCTGCGCACGCACCTGCGGTCTGGGCGGGCTCGGCAGGCTGGCTCATCTGCCCCTTAGTGTCAGCTGCGGCCTCGGCAGGCTCGTTTGCTCCCACGGCTGGCACTCGATGCGGGCCAGGGGCGGGGGCTGCACTACAGTTCCTCAAAGAGACTGTTAGAGGAGATGGGGACCTCTCCACGTGGGCTGGTTTGGGCTTCCTCACAGCAGTGGCTGGGTCTCGGGGTGGTCACCCAAAAAGGGAGGAGTGAGAGACCGCAAGACAGAAAGCGTATCCTTTTATAATCCAGCCTTAGAGGCCACACAGCACTTCTGCCATGTTCTCTGTCCAGTTTGACAGGGGCTGTCACTCTCCTACCCCACCCCCAATGCACACAAACACACACAGCAGAGTCCACCCCCTGACACATACACACACACACACACACAGAGTCCACCCCCAACACACACACACAGATACACACACAGCAGCGTCCACCGTGGCCCAGGACCTGTCCTTTGGGAAGGCTTTTCTTTACGGCTTCCTCAGATTCTGGGGAAAATCCAGAGCTCGGGAGCCGCAAGGTGGGAGGGCTGCGAGCTGGGGAGGGGACTGACTCCGTCTGCCCCCGCTCCACCGTGAGCCAGTCCGCAGCCAGGCTGAGGTCCTGCCTCGGCCACGGCGGGCCAGAAGGGACCTGGCAGCTTTGCTCTCTGCACAGCTCGGCACGGCCCGCTCAGTCGGGAGACCCCATTTGGGACAACTTGGCCTTCTCCTGGTGGCAGGGGGACCTGTCTGCTCGGCTCTAGTGCGCCTGCCCTGATGCCCGCTTCCCAAGCTCGCCTCCTCTTCCCAGCAAGGGGGAGTCGGGGCCAGAAGGGTCCAGGGGTTGGGACCAGGCGCCTGGCGGGCAGTCCTTGCGCAGACGGCGCTTCCTGCCCCTGCCCAGCTGCAGAGGCGTGAGGCATCTTGACTCTTGACCCAGGCTCGGGTCTGAAACACTCGGGCATCAGCCCTCAGGGGGACCCTGCATCTGCGGCCTCTGTGGGGTCCAGGGGACTCCCATTTGTGCAGCCGCGGGGCGGGGGGAGCGCCGAGACGCCTTCCGTCCAGTCCAGGCCTCTGCCGCCCCCTGCAGGTGGCCGGGGGGACCTCCTGTGCCCCCTGCTCTCGTCTGTTCAGACAAAACGCGGTCAGAGGCTGCAATTATCCAGTTACAGCTTTTAAACGATAACGAACATTTATTGAATGAGCTGATACATGTACGGTGCTTATCACAGTGCAAGGGACACAGGAAGTGCTCAATAAATGTTAGCATTATTGTTACTCTGTGCCGGGCACCATGCCAAGCCCTCTGCTCAAGAGGGACCATGGTGTAGGGGCAGCAACACAGACTCCAGGGCTGGGCAGCCTGGGCTCGATGCCCAGCTCACCACCCCCCTTGTGCGATTACTTCTCTGTGCCTCGGTCTCCTCGTCTGTAAGATGGGCATGAGTAAAGGACCTGCTTCCCGGGCTTATGTGCAGATTCCAGGAGCTGACAGTGAGAACAAGGGCCTGGCATGCGGCTCGATACCTGTGAGCCGTCCTGGTTACCTACGAATAGGTGTTTCTTTCTCCCCTCCGCCTGGAATGCTCTTCCCGGCTCCTCACGCAGCTGCCGTCTTCCCATCCTTCAAGACTCGGCATAAGGGACAGCTCCTCCCCAGGCCGCCCCATTATAAACAGACAGCCCTTCGCCCCCACGCCCCAACCCCGTCACTAGTTGGTCTCTGTCACACATATCTGTTGCATTGTCTGCTCTTGTGCCGGGATGGGAGCTCCAGGAGGGCAGGTGACTTGTCTGCCCTCTGCACCCAGCAAGGCAACTTGGACACAGTATGTGCTCAGCAAATGTTTGTGGAATGAATGAATAATCCCCACAACTCTGCTTTCTTCATTCCGCAAATATGAACTGACAGCACAGTGGTGAATAAGATGCTCTCGTAAGTCTTTCTAATTTTAGTAAAATTAAAAAAAAAATCTCGGAGCAGGACTGTTGGGTGTGATTGGGCAGTCTGCGCACTGCACAAAGGCACCTGGACAAGGGGGCAAATGGGGGCTGCAGTGCAGTCTGGGCTCTGCTTGCCAAGCTGTGAGTCCTGGTGTGGAGCCACCTCGGCCCGGAGGGGCACCTTTGTAAGGGACACAAAGTCATCTGACGAGATGGGTAAATTACTGTCCCCACTTCACAGAAGAGGTGACCTGCCTAAGGCCACACCCCTATAAAGGAGGGAGTCAAGATGCAAACACGACTTCTGACTTCCTCGGAGGGCCTCTCCGCGGGCACGGGCGCAGTGTGCTGGAGTTCTCCCTGAGCCCTCTCTGTTGGGGTCGGGGGGAAGCAATGCTCAGAGGAATCGGGGCATCTGGTGACATCTGGGGTCATGCCGCATGGGGAGGGATTTCAAGTCCCAGCATCTTTGGAAGCCCCTCCGTTCCCCTTGGGCCTCTCCCGGGGACGTCTCTCCCTTCTCGGGCTCACCTGGCCCCCGGGCCTCTCGAGCGCCTGCTCCGGTCCACGATTCCGAGCGTCCCCTCCTTGGACTCCTGTGAGGACAGGCGGGGCTGCTTGAGTCCCACGGGCCCTTGACCACCCCAGCGGCCTCCTCCCCTGGAGAACGGAACTCGTCGTCTGTAGCTTGGATGATGTGGCTGTAGGGGAAGGTGCTCTGAAGCATCCAGCGCCCTGCAGCCTAGGGAGAATTACTGCCCTTTTCATTCCTTTTCATTCTGCTGAGGTGGACCCAACGTCACTCCCTCCTTCGTTGCTCCCTCCCTCCCCATCCCTCATCTTACCGTGTGCCCAGCGCTGGGCGTACCACACCGCTGACTGCTCTGGGACGCGGGCCAGATTTCCTGCATGGCCACGGGCCTTCCCCCCACACCCCAGAGGCCCCCTGGCTGACAGGCTTGGGGAAGGTGGGGGTGGGGGCGGCCTGGGACCCCCCGCCAGCCCAGCTGAGGAAACTCTTCAAACCCTGCGGGATCTCCACCTGCGGAGGCCCCGGCTCTTCTGCCCTTTGTCAACCACAGGTTCTGCGCAAGGACTCCTTTCCCGAATCTCAGAGAAAAAGAAAAATGCCGCCCGCAGCGGGTGGAGTTGCATACATTTTTTAATTGAAATAAGTCAGGCTCCTAAGTATTGCTTTTACAGGTCTGTCGAAGTCAAGTATTCATACCACTCACATTTTCAAAAATATTTCCGGCCAGAGGAGCAACGTGGCCCTCTCCCGGTGCGAAGTCACTTCTGGCCACGTGGTGAAGAACCAGCCACTCGAAAGGAGTGAGTCGAAACCCTGCCCTCGGCTGACACGTTCCTGGGCTTCTTTTCCTCTGAGTCACTCCCTGCCACAGTCACTGCGTCTAGGACCAGCCTCAGGCCAGACCCAACCAGGCCGGGGCCCCAGTGGCTTCAGACGGGGCTGGGAGTCGCTTGCGTGTGTGTGTCCCGAGTGTGAAGCGTCCTCTGGGAAGGTGACGTGGGGGAAGCGGTGCGGCCGGGGGCGAAGAGCGGGGAGGCAGACTGGCTGGGCTCCTGTAAACATCCATCGTGATGGCGAAAGGCCAGCAGCCAAGGCGAGGCTGGCGGCACGAGCTGTGGGCGGGCGGGGTCTCCAGCCGCCCCAGCCGTCCCCCTTGGGTAGGGGCAGACGCCTTCCCAGCCCGGCACTCAGTCTCAGTGTCTCCGTCCCACCGTTCTGGGTCTGGACAGGAACCTCTCTGTTGGCACGGAGCTTGTGAGGGGAGCAGGCCTAACAAGAAGGAAAAAGGGTGTTACTGCTTGGAAGCTCTGCCCTGCCATCCACTCGGTGGGGGATCTGCACCCACCCCGCAGACTTTGGGAGGCTGCGGGCAGGGAAGTCTTCCTCCATCCCCCACATTTGGGAACCATCAGAAGCCCCAGACTCAGGCTGGGGCTATTTCCCTATAATTTTTGTTAATAACTCTTTTTAGTGAATTTTCATGATTTCTACAGACCCTGGGCTAGAGAACAGGTGCAATCTCCCGTGGGAGAGAAGGGATGCTGGCACCTGAGGAAGGAGGGCAGCCCACTCCATGGTCACCCAGGGTCTGCCGGCTGACGTGGGCTCTGGGCAGCTGAGCCAGCTCCGGGCATCAGGCCGGGCTTGGCAGCACCTCCCACCGTGCCGAGAAAACACTTCGCAGCCTACAGGAAGGCTGCGGCCACAGCCGAGCCACTCAGCAGCCCCACGTGGCTCGTCCCCCGGGACCTGGCATCGTCCCAGTGCCTGGCTCCTCAGCTGGTGCCACTTCCTGTCCCTTCACTGTGTCCAGCTGGGTGCTGGCGTCTCTGCAGCATCTCATGGTCCCAGGCCCACCCTCCTGCCCTGGTTCTGAGCTTCATCTTTGCCAGCGCAGACCCCTCCTTCCGCAAACGTCATCGAGCATCAAATAAAACTTCCATGTTAAACACACAACATTGTTCACCAGGGTGCTCTTGACATGGGGGGCAGCACAATTCTCCAATGTGGGGGCTCTCCTGGGCACTGCAGGACGTTTGGCAACATCCTTGGCTCCTGACCACTAAACGCCAGTAGCGCTGTGACAACTAAAAATGCCCCCTCACCCCATTTCCAAGGGCCACCCGAGGGGGCAGAACTTCCACCGAGAGCCGTGAATCTCGGCAAGGTTCAGAGAAGCCAAGTGACCTGCCTAAAGCGGCACAGGGGTGACAGGCAGAGCTGACACTGGACTCGTGACAATGATGGAAAAGATCACAAGCAGGGCAGCCACCACCTCCTGGGCTTCACTACGTGCCACGAGCCCCACGCCGGCCTGCGGTGCCTCACCCCACCCCCTCCCTCACTTTCTGGGGCACGCTGACCCAGCAGCTTCCACCGTAGGGACCTGGCCCTTTGCCAAGAGGCCTTTCTCTGCCGCCAGTGCCTGCCGGGCCGCCGGGCCGCAGGTGAGGCAGGGCTAGCGTGTTCCCAGAGCCGCCTTCCCACCAGTGATGGCCAGGGAGGCGGGGACCAGTACCCCAGCTCCCGCACCTGCAGCTGGGACGACTCTGTGGCATATTTCCCATCGACAGTGGCTCCCGGAGCTCCTGAGCAGGACTGAGCCCAGAGCCGCAGTGGTGACCTGCTCAGTGACACGGCCCCTCGCTGACTCACGGCCCCACTCCCCACCCGTCGCTCCTGGGATCGCCTCCCAAATAAATGACTTGCACTTCAATCGCCGTCCTGGGGTCTGCTCCCAGGGGAGCATGCCGGAGACGGAGCCTTACACAGCTCCTTTCATTCAACCCTCCTAACACAGGAGTTACATACTATTAGGATTCCATTTTACAGACGAAGGTTCAGAGAGAGTAAGTAACCTGTCGAAGCATGCTCAGCCCTCCTGGGCTTTGTCCCACTGGAGATTTTAAACACTACATCATTTCATACCTCCTGTGTGCTAGGTCCCACGCTAGGTGCCAGGGACCCCGTGACGAGTACAGCCCTTGCCTGTGATATGTAGTCTAGTGAGCAATTTCAGCCCAAGCTGGCACACCTGACAATAGGAGGAAGCACAGGGCACGACTGGAGCCCAGAGTCTGGAGAAGGCTGTGCGTGAAGGGCATGCCGGGTAGAGGGAGGGCAGGTGATGGGGTCGTGGCAGGTCTGGACCCCCCTGCAGTTTGGTGAGGGTGAGAGGGCCAGAGGTAGAAGGTAGGCTGTGGGGGAGTCATGCCTGGAGAGGTGAGCAGGGACGCCATCAGCCAAATTGCTTGTGTCCTCTGCCAGATTGGCCTCCTAGAGGCCAGCTGGGAACACCGCCTTCCAGCGCTTAGAGACCTTCCCCGGCCCCCAATGACAACATGGGCAAGGGCAAGTCCTGGCGTCCTCGGGGCCCCACCCCGCCTCCCCCTGGATGCGGTGGTGGAGAGGGGAGGCCGGGGGCGCAGCCAGGGCACGGGAGAGCTCGGCCCTCAACAAAGGCGCTCACGGTTCCCCTCCCACTCGGCCAGGAGTCCACCTTCTGCTGACCTCCCTCTTCCAGGGAAGCTCCAGGTGCCCTGGGGGGTCAGTGGTGGTCCTGAGAGCCCTGGGGTCCGGGAACCTGGGGCGGAATTATGTATCAGTTCACCCTGATGGCACTCACCGCAGGTCTCCACGGCAGGGGGTCGCACTTGAGCCCACTGCAGACTGGTGTGGACGAGGCGTTCAAGAACCCGAGTCATCCAGGGAACAGCGACTCGCTCCTCTGCCAATCCTCGTGAAGGCAAACAGCGTTGAGACGACAAACAGCGTCGAGAGCCAGCAAGAGCGCTTCCCCACAGGTGCCTCCCTCCCGTCTGAAGGGGCTGGGGCCGGCTCCAGCTGGAATTCACTAACGCTCTGCCACGTTCACTGTGTTTATCCGTAGGGTCACCTTCTAGTGGGGGCAAGTGATGCCAGTTTTCCAATGCTGATAGTAAATAAAGTTCCTCTCTTTTCAGAACACTAATTCCACTTTACAAAGAGAGCTGGTTTCAAGAAAACGTACGTAAATAATAGTTCAGGCAATAGGCAGGTTAGAGAAAAAGTTGTTGACGGCGTCATATGAGGTTTGGGAGACCGACTGGAGTCGGTCCCACTCACTCCCCAGAGAATGAAGGGGCCCAGAGAGGGTGGCGACGAGCCCTAAGTCACACAGCAAGTTGAGAACAGAGAGGTATCTTTGGTGGGAGGATGTCCTAGGACCTCTCATCTGTGCCACCCACTGTGGCTATTAAAGATCAATCCTCTTCCTTTGACTTGCAAGCCTGGCCTCACAGCAAAGCCCAAAGGGGAATCTTGACAACAGCTGATGTCTATCAAGTACTCTATGCTCCCCTTGTACTAACTGCTTTAACTCATGTCTTGGCTCATTTATCCCTCAAAACATCCTTAGCAGGTAGGGCCAAGTAGGACCATCATCACTGAATTTCAGGTGGGGCTCAGAGAAGTTAAGTAAATTGTACCAGGTCACACAGCTCGTAAAAGGCAGAGGCAGAATTTGAACCTCCAGTCTGACCTCAAAGTCTTAATTCTCTGAGCATCTTAGGTCCATCTCTCTCCCCCAAGGCATCAATAGCCCCCAGTGGAGAGCATCCTGGAGCCGCAGCTTACAGGATCCAAGGCAGATGGGCTCTCCAACCTTCTCACGTCATTAGAGCAGGACAGACAGTTCACTGGTCAGTGGCTTCTTTTTCTTTCTTTCTGAAACTGTAACCTTCACGCCAGGCCGCTCCCCGAGCTCGATGGGGGGTGTGGCCAGCTGACTCGTTTCTGTCCTTAGAGTGACTGCTGGCACTTGATCCATTTTAAGAAGCTATGTCTCAGCAGAAACCTCTGTGGAGAAGCTGCCTAGTTTGAGATTTGGCTTGAGAAAATGGCCATTGTGTCCTAGGGGTGCTGGTGGGGCGACGCTCTGGGCACGCTGAAAGGCAATTCTCTTTTGCAGTCCAGCCGTCCAGCTGTCGTACTCCTCTGGGGCAGCCAGGACAAGGTCTGGAATTGGCCTGTCTTGGGTAATTCTGCCTCTGCCCCTTCCTAGCTGTGTGACCTCAGGCAAGTCACCTCATCTCTCTGGGCCTGTTTCCTCATCTGAAATGAAGACCATGCTGATCTCATCGGGCTGTTTGTTGTGAGGATTACTGGGAATGCCTGCAACTCCCAGCGTACACGAGGCCTCCATACCTGGTGCTCCTCTCCTCCCTGTCCTCCCCTGTACCCAGCTAGAGTGCACCCCGGCAGAGAGCTCCTCAGTGCTGGGGGCCTTCTGACAGGAGCGGTCCTCTTCCTCTCTTCCTCTGAAGACCCCACCTGCTGGAAACCCACTGCTGGGTCCTCTTCCTCTGGGTACCAACCAACCATCCAAAGTGGCTAAGACAGGCGTCACCCAGATCCGACGTGCCCCGTGGCTCCACTGTCGTCTCAGCAACAGGCTGTGTGGCAGGAGGCCCTGCCGTGTCTAGGTGACGAGCCTGTGGCGGGAAGGGGACAGGAAAGGAGAAGCCGCCCGTTGCCCGGGTCCCTGTCCCTGATGGAGCCAGCGTCCTGTCCAGCTTCTCAGACCTGGACTCTGGTTTGCACGTGGGCCGTCCATGCTCCTCAGCTGCGGGCTCCGTGGAGACCCGTGGCCCAGAATATGTCTCCAGTCGGTCATGCCCAAGAGCCTGCGAGGCCTTCCGAAGGGCAGCATTTGCCCAACCCCCTCATGAGTCTTGCCATCCAAGAACCACCTGGACCACTATTTATTCATTTAAATAGTAGCAGTATTTCAAATCAACACATCATTCTTTTTTAAACTCCAAAATTTTAAAAGGAACCTTTATGTCACTGAATAAAAACCAGGATTATTTGCTATAAACAGAAGTCAATGCTAAAAATAAATACGATGAAAATGAAACCATTAATTCTAGCCAGACACCCTGGCCTGCAAAAGCCAGCCTGGGCCTGGTTTCTCGGGTCACAAGGGAAAAGTACAAGTGCTCAAGAGGTGGCAGGGCACTGCCAGCCCGGTCACGCCACTTTGGTGTATTCACGGTCTCCCAGGGACGCCGATGGCAGAGGACCTCGCTCGGGAAGCACTGGGAGTGTAGCTAGGAGGCCCAGCTTGGCCACCTCCCAGCTGGGTACTCGAGGTGAGTCATGAACCCCCCAAGCCTGATCCCCTCCCTCCATAATGGAGCTAATGAGCCCTGCCCTGCCTGTTCACGGGGTGACACGCAAGGAAGCTGTGGAGACGTGGGGGAGGCAGCTATGTTATTTATCTTTTTATT